TGTTTAGTGCTAATAATTATCTATATTTTTTACAATTATTTTAATTCGAAAACTTTTCCGTTTAGTTAGATTCAGTATTGTTAATTACTTTCATTACATTTCAAATTTCTTTGTTTCTTTTTTAAATTCAACTTTATAACATTTCTTAAACTGTTTAGTTCATAAATTCCTTTATTTTATTATTTGGTTTTATAATATTTGTGAATAATTGTCTCCGGATAATTTTTTATCTCACGACTGCACAACTAGTACATAGACAGTCTTGATCTTCCATATTCCCAAAACCAAAACCAAGATCAATTTTGCTAATCACTGGAATTGTTTGAAAAACGGACATTTACTTGGTGTTTCAACACTAATTTACTAAATATGAACTCCTTTTCTTTGGATATGTCTTAATCTTTATCACTAAATGTTCAGCTTATCTTATGCTTATATTTATTCTGTTATTGAATGATAAATTAAACACAAATTTTTACTTTCCTTCGCACTTTAGTTCAGGCTTAGGAGGCGTGTTTAATAGTATTTCAGTTTTTAATCTAAAAACCTACTGATAAGAATCCTTATGGGCAAAAATTAATTTAGACTTGTTACTGATTATGTCACCCTTAAGTTCAGCGCCCCTGGACTCCGTGTCATCTGCCTCCTCCCCTCAAAACCAGTACTGTTTACACAAACGATTTTTTTTTCTTTTTGAAAAGTCGTTGGACAACTATTTTGACAACAGTAAAAAGTGTTGTCTATTTTTTGCTTTCATTAATCAAATGTTTACTAGGATGGAAGCGTCCGCCAACGATGTTTTTTTTATGCTCCAGCTTTTTAATTTACCAGAATTTAAAAAATGAAATATATGTAATATAATTTGCACGAGTTCAACGTTCTTAACGATAGAACTACATCGTAATCCATTGTCTCATATCTAATGATTTGGTTAATCAAGAAACTATTAATATAATTTGGTAAGAAAATAAATAAAAGTAAAACATAAATTTTAGTGTGCAAGGGAACAAAAGCAGGGAAAGAGTTATTATAAAGATTTCGGTTTCTAGAAAGTGCGATAATTCATGATGTAATCAGCAGTAGATATATAAACCAAAGGATAGCGCAAGGTCGAGTGTCCTTTAACAAAAAGAAGTCACTTTTATACTTACTAACGGTTAATTTAGATATTGAAAAAAGATTGGTGTTGATTGAAAAGGTGTATGCCTATACCACGGCACTGTATGGGTACGAAACATGGATGGTGGGCGAGGCGGAAAATAAAAGATTGGAAGCGTTCGAAATGTGATGTTATAGGCGAATGATGAGGATACCGTGGATAGAGAAGGTTAGAAATGAAGAGGTACTAGGAGGGAAGAATAGGAGAATAGAGGACTCGGTGGAAGTCAATAAGAAATAGCGAGATAGGTTGCTAGGACACATTCTCTGAAATGAAGTGCTAGTCAGAGACATATTACAGGTAGAAACAGGAGTTATAAGGAGAGAGGTAGATCTGGATTACATTAGGTACCTACTCTTCGCAAATAGTTAAGTGTAGGAAAGTTATTTATTCGACATTTAGATACTATTTGGTCTAACCAAATATTAATGGCTGATATACGTTATAGGCGGATGATGAGGATATCGTGGGTAGAAAAAGTTAGAAATGAAGAGGTATTGGAAAGAATAGGAGAACAGAGGACTCTATGGAAGTCAATAAAAATGGGCGAGATAGGTTGGTAGGATACCTTCTCAGGCATGAAGGTCTAGTCAGAGACATATTGGAGGCAGAAACAGGATTTAGGAGGGGTAGAGGTAGACCTAGATTAGATTACTCTTCGCAAATAGTTAAGGATGTGGGCTGTTGCAGTTTTAGGGAAATGCGAAGTTTAGCTCAGGATAGGAAAGAGTGGAGGTACGTGTCCAACCAGTCTTGGGACTGATGACCTTATGATGATGATGGTGATACGTTGAATGAAAGCAAGGAGGACCATTGAAGGTAACTGAGGCCATTGAGGCTAATGAAAATAAATTTCTAGCGAGTGAACAAAGTAGTACAATAGTATTAATTTAATCCAGTAAGTTATCATATCGTCTATTTAAATTGTCCTGTGTAGGGTCATGATAGATTATCACATAAACCGGTTGTATAGTTAATTATGGTTTTTTATAATGAAGATAATTTTTTGGTAATTATCAAAATTCTGATCAGAATTTTGCATAAAATTAGCTCTTTTTTGTTAATTTGTGTATCTTATTTTCTTCAGTAACGTAAGAAACTTTTAGGAAAGTGTGTCATGTTCATGTATGTACTTACCTCGTCAATTACAGTTTTGAAAACAAAACAAAAAAGGCAACATATTTGCGTCAAACAAACGGTTATTAGCCTAGTAAAGTTTTGCAACAACAAATAATTAAAGTATTGATATTGCTCTCTTCTGGCTATGACGTTAATGGCTCTATCGATGTTGTTGAATCATTCAATGTACAATGAAAAAATTATTTGTGGTATTAGTAGGTAAGCAGTTCAAAAGTTTTTTAATTCTCGGTAACAACTTCTTCCACCAGTTCCTCGCTAAGCAAAGTATTACATTTTAAATATAATCTGTACTTAAACACAAACTTTTTGTAAAGATATTTAACCGCTTTAGTATGTATTTAGTACTTCGTCACACATAAAGTTGACTTATGATCACCTACAGAAACGCATTCAATTCAAATCGTGTTCGACAATGTCTCCACCTTTCTCAGCTATCATAAGAGTTGGAGCGTTCGTATAATGAATCTACAACACCTTTTATTCCATAAACGTTTAATCTTTGATCATCTACAGCATTTTTATCACTGTGATAGTGTACCTGTTGTAAAAGTGACATGTTATATCATACATTTCCAGGAAACGTTTGTGTCAGAACCATCAGCCTTGCAATTGAATATGGGTTTTTTATAAGGTTCAGTTTCTACGGATTACATGGCAGACTATTGAGTAATATTCAAAATTATTTTAATATCTTCTTAGAAATGAAGAGGTATTGGAAAGAATAGGAGAACAGAGGACTCTGTGGAAGTCAATAAGAAATAGACGAGATAGGTTGGTAGGACACCTTTTCAGGCATGAAGGTCCAGTCAGAGACATATTAGAGGCAGAAATAGAAGTTAGGAGGGGTAGAGGTAGACCTAGGTTAGATTACTGTTCACAAATAGTTAAGGATGGGGGTTGTTCTAGTTTTAGACCGAGCGGCATGGCCTAGAGATCTAGACCATTGCTTAGCATTCGGGAGGACGCCGGTTCGATTCCGGGTCCGTCTGCCTTGGGCCAAGTTTTTCTGTGGTTTCCTTGAATCACTTAGGCAAATGCTGAGGCAGTAATATTCCACAGATAATCTCACTCTCTTCTGTCTTCATTTTGTCAGTCTCATCTTTCTCACCCGAACCACCACCCACCCATTCCCACGATTCCTGAAAGCAGGCTGAAGAGGGCCTTCCGCCCTACCTTCCGGCTTAGTCCGGAGGGACTGCCCGCCCACCAGCATTACTGGCTGGTGGGAATGAAACACCCAAAAGTTTTTGACGTGACAAAGTCTTATAATTCGATGGAGCCGGCTGCGCGCACGAAAAAACATGACTCATGCGGCGTTACCTCGCTCTGAGGCGTTCCATTTAAGGCTTGAAGTGCAAGCGAGAGCGCGGAACGAGCGACAAAGAGGCACANAGCATATAAAAATTATACGGCTTAAATGTGAAGTTGGGTGCAAAAGAATACAATTAAATCCTCTGTCGGGAAAAAACGAAATGACTTTCCGAACAACCCTATAGTTCATGACAAAAAACAATTACATTACTGTATAGTTCTTCAAAAAAGGCAAACTATCATTGAATATCAATTTTCACCTAGTTACGGTTACGATAACCTAATGTTTTGTTGGTAGCATTATTAGTTCGAGCATTCTAATTTTACTAAAAAATTATAAATCATAACCAACTTCTGCTTATATAATTTAAATAGAACGAATGTATAATCAACAATGAATTAGCAGGACAATTTTTCATACTCACTCGAAGTTGCAGTAACACTGACTGAATATTTGCATACGTTGAAAAATAATTTACAACATAAGGTAGCGCTTATCGGAGAGTTCTTAGAAGCATATTTGCAAATTATCAACTGTTGAGATAAATGACAAAAATGTAGAGTGTAGACCATTTATAGTTTAATTCATAGGCGGCTCGTGATGAAATCCTGAAGGTTACATGATTTACAATTAGATGATTATTTTTGTTTATCGTAGTCCATAGAGGTAGAAAACGAAACTTCGGTTTTGTTTTCTCATTGGTTATTATTACGATATAAACGTGTAGCAGAACTTTATAATTTACAGCAATCAAATGTGTCGAAAGTATCTTTTTAATATTGATGTTATTTGTTTAATTTTTCGGGAATGAAAGTGACAACTTGCAATTAGTTGCTTTCGAATAATGAAAATACTGATATCCACTTTGAGCTAGTCTATAACGATCAGTGAGTAAAAGATCTTATTTGTGATAGGTCACGTAAGGTGTAATTCAGAAACTTCTAAAAATCACGTGCTTAATATCGGGTTACGTTAAGAAATTTTATTTATGTCATTGCTAATCTACACGGTTTAATGTTTTTTTTTTCGGTTCATTGAATATACGAGGTCTATTCAAAAAGCATCGCGAATTTTGTTTTTTCCGCGGGTTACGTATATTCGAATTTGGACTTTTTTTTCTGGAGTTATGTTGGTATTCATATTTCCCACTTATACCGACAAGTTCGGCCATGTTGAATGTTCAGTTAATTTTTGACAGCTGCTTTGCTTGCACGTGTTTTGGCTCGTCTTCGATTTTTACCTATCCCAAAGAATCTTCATCCAATTTTGTGTGAAAACCAAAATTAAGTGCCCGGACGCACTCCGAATGTTGACTATGACATATCGTGAAGCTACCTTGGACCGAAGAACGTTTATCGGTGGTACAAAATCTTCTCAGAGGGCCGAAAAGATGTGAACGGCGAAGAGCGTGCCGGACGCCCGAGCATCAGACGATAATATTGATGAAGTGTAGAAAATAGTATTGGCCAATCGTCGAATCACCCTTAGAAAAGTTTCTGAGGATCTAAGCATATCGATTGGCTCCTGGCATTCGATTGTTACTAATTATTATTTAGGCATGAGACGGGTCGCCTCGAAATTCGTACCAAAATTTCTCAATTTCGACCAAAAACAGCATCGCATTAACATTGCTAAGGAGCTGTTAGACTCTGTCCGCGATGACCCAAATTTACTCTAGGAAGTCATAGTTGGTGAAGAATCATGGGTGTTTGGTTATGACGTGGAAACCAAAGCTCAACCATCCCAATGGAAGCTGCCGCACGAACCAAGAAAAAAGCGCACGAAGTTTGGTCGATTGTGAAGGTTTTGCTAACAGTTTTCTTCCATTGCGACTTCTTCCTCGGGAATGCGACACTACCCAGTCGTACGGACGGCTGGGTGTCTTTTGAAGATTTCCCCTGTTCCACGAAAACATAAAAAATAGGGGCGTGGTGCATCATGAGTTCTTGTCACAGGATAGAACGGTCAATAAGGAATATTACCTGCAAGTTATGCGCAATTTACTCGAAGCAATCCACCAGAAACGTCCGGATTTGTGGAAGAACAAAAACTGGCTTTTGCACATTGCTAACGCCCCTGCTTACATACCCTCGTGAACTCTGAAGTGTCCTAAAGGCCCATTGTCCAGTAAGGAATACGCGGATTTGCAAGCTTGTTTTAGTTTATACGTATACTGTATAATCTGGTGTTTAATCTGGCAAACTCGTCTTCTAGAGTAAAGCACTGTGGACGTAAACTAGTCCCCTATTCGGATGTTCGGGCAGGGAGCGAAGATTAGCTCAGGATAGGAAAGAGTGGAAGTGCGCGTCCAAATAGTCTTACGATTGACGACCTTATAATGATGGGCAGCAATTCAACTTTTTGGAGGCATGAGCAACAATGCAAGTGGGGCCAAGTCTTTGACAAAAAGTTGGATTTTTATTAGGACGTTAATTTGAATTTTCATTTTCTGTTGTATTGCGTAAGACTCATTCTTCGGCACTTGTAGGAGCTGTTATGGTACTCGTACATACATTGAGAAAAACAATATTTTAAGAGAACATTTTAAGACCTAAACGTGTGACTATTAATCTACCAATAAATTAACTTTATCCGTACCTTTTTTATTACTAAAATACTTCAGATTGACATTAGTAAGCAAAGTTCCTAACCGACATTTCGGTTTCTACATACTCTAGGAAACACTTTGAGTAGATAAACTATTGGTAATATTTTCATCCTTTTATTTTAATGTAACGACAAGCTTTATGGTTGCAAACTGAACTGTCTCTAAATATTTTAAAGGTGTAATAATCATGTGTCACAGATGGTTTACTTAATTTTTTATGGATTTCAAAACCTATGATGTAGACGAAATTTGATCTCTAAGAATATCAATTTGAACTAGTCCAATTCCAGTCTTCCTTAATCATGTCTGCCCCCTTTTCTGCAATCATGAACGTGGGTGCATTTGTATGACCAATAGGTATAACAGGCATAATAGATGCGTCTACAACTCTTAATCCTTTCACTCCATAAACTCTTAATCTTGGGTCTACTACAGCGTCATCGTCATCCTCCGAACCCATTCTACAAGTACCACACTGATGATAAATTGTAAAAGTGAAATGACGTGCCATACATTTCCAATAATCATCTGTCCCAAAACCATTAGCTTCACAGTTGGGTATCGATTTTTTATACAGTTCAGTTTTTATAGACTGCATGGCGGGTTGCTGTGTGATATTCAGAAGGATTTTGAGACCTTTAATGATATTGTCTAAATCTTCCTCTTCAGAAAAATAATTTGGTTCAATTACAGGTTTAGATAAGTAGTTGTTATCCTTAAGAGTTATCCTCCCTCTACTTTTCGGGCGCAGGAGCATTGGAAACACCATAAAGCTGGATCCTCCAATTATGGGACCGTAGACCTTGTAATAAATATCTCCATCAATACCAAAAATCCTTCTGAAGATTCTTGTAGAACTAAGGGAACCATATAGATATAAGAGCTCTATGTTAGGATAACCGTTCGGATCAAGAGGATTTTCTGTATCGTGGTAACTAATGGTTTCGCAGCCTCCAGATAGTGTATAAACTCCTTTATGATTGGGAAAGTACTCTTTGAAACTCTTCGGTTTTAGAAGACCTGAGTCAGCATCGGTGGTATTAACCAAAAAGGTCAGCCCTCCAACTGCGATATGGTCCATAAGATTGTAACCAACTTTTAAATCATTTAAAGCTGGTACACCTACTTCTTCAAGATGTTCTTTGGGTCCAATTCCGGACAGCATCAATAACTGGGGAGAGTTGATTGCTCCCGCACAAACAATTACTTCTTTACTTGCGTTCACAAAGTATCTTTTACCATTATTTAGTAGAAATTCTACGCCATACGCCAACATCGTGCTAGGATTAATAAGAATTTTCGATACCATCGCTGACTTCTTAAGGTGGAAATTATTTCTATTTTTAATTGGGTGAAGATAAGATCGACTTGCGCTAGCTCTTACTCCATCTTTCATCGACGATTGAAGAAAGGACACACCAATTGATGTTGCACCATTGTAATCAACGTACCTAGACCCGTATTCCATTTCCGCTTCAACTGCAGCCTTTCCTATGCTCGAACGATATGGTGGATAACTGACAGTTACGTAGCCATCTTGAGAATGATATTTAGTATCGTTATCATATCCAGGAACGACAAAATTTTCAACCTTTTTAAAATATGGTAGAACATCCTTGAACGACCAGCCCGTGTTTCCCATTTTTTCCCAATTATCATAATCTCTTCTATTTCCACGAGTATAGATCATGAAGTTCAAAACACTGGACCCTCCGAGTACCTTTCCCCTAGGAAAATTACACTGCCGATTTTCCATCCCTAGACAATAATTATCACTTGGTACCGTTTTGTAATCCCAGTTTGCCTCACTGAGCTGGAGAAAATTAGCCAAAATGGGGATGTCCATAATGAATTTTTCGGAACCGCCTAAAATAGAAAAAATCTTGTCTAAATGTAATTACGCTAACCGAGCGTAAGGGTTGCATAAGGGTGATGTATGAGCATTGCGCATTCACTGCACCACGCAGGTGCTGTAATGATTGGACCGTTATCAAAAATCCCACAACTAGCTAGAGGAGCTTTTTTTTCTTTATCGATGCCGGAGCGCTGCAGATTAATCATAACTTTTTGGTGAAACTTGGTAAAAACCTTCAGGAAGTTGCCAATGTGTTGGGGTCTGCATATAGATATAGCGCCCTAGGAAATAAATTCATTTTTGAGTGAATTAAGGGGGGATGAAGTGTTCCTATAAATATTTAACGTATTAGAATTCTGAAAAGTACAAATTTCACAACGTTCTGCCTCATTTTGTCTTGATTTTATTATATCTATTAAAAAAAATAGTTCATGTATTTTGTAAAATCTTTTGCTGTCGCCCAGGTTTGTGTGTGTTTTGCACCTTAAAATTGGTTTTCAGTTGTACACTACATTTAAGATTTAAGATTGTTAAACGTCTTTGTCTGGAGCGCGGCGCTGTGCGAGTGCGAGATATAGACGGTGGATGCGGCGGAAAAGAAAAGGTTAGAAGCGTTCGAAAGTGGTGTTACAGGCGAATGACGAGGATACTGTAGATAGAGAAGGTTAGAAATAAGAAGGTAGTAGAACCTTCTTGGGCATGTAGGGCTACGGAGAGACATGTTAGAAGCAGAAACAGGACTTACAAGGAGTAGTAGACTAAGTTATTTTTCGCAAATAGTTAAGTAAGTGGGATGTTCTAATTTTAAAGAAATACGAAGATTAGCTCAGGATATGAAAGAGGCGGATGTGTGTGTTCAACCTGTCAAATGACTGACAGCCTTATGATGATGATGACTAAATTGTAGATTTACCAGCTTCTAATAGAAGTACATTCCAATTAGGATTTTCAGTCAAACGATTGGCTATCACGCTTCCTGCCGTACCAGCACCAACTACGATGAAATCGTATTCTGAAAGTATCTCCAAAGTATCGTCTGGTTCATTTGCGGCTTGTTCACATGACTCTTTTATAAAATCGAACAAGGATCCGATTAAGCTTCCAGCGTAAATTGGAACGATATAGGATAGAATGAAGCACCTTTTAAAAATTTTCATATCGAATGGTTTAGCTACAAATGAAATAAAATGACTACCTAAACTAAAATTTTTTGTTATTTAACAAGCGTATTATAGTGTACAAAAATGACGTTACATTTGCATAAAATGATTAAAATTCGGTAGAACAAACTAAATAAGAGACAGACAATATTTGCTTGGTTTATAATATATAATATCTGTTTGTCAATTATATTTAGTTTAAACGAGTTTTATAGAAAACAATAAAAATATTGCGACGCACTTTTAGTAGTGCACTTTTTTATGCATAAAATTATGTACTTGAAGGTATTAAAATAAAATACGTAATTAATGAAAAAGCTCGCATAAAATTTACTTCTACAACTTTCTCTGACGGTTCCAAAATAGAGATTACTAATGGGAAATGGATCGATTTTCTATAGAATATGCGTAGGTATAACTAGACAAACATTCTCTGATGCACAATGGATGATAAAAAAATGTTGTAACTGCTAATTATGCATATATTTCAGTCCTCTCTTTTATTATCTCTTTTTAAAACTACTCGAAAGATTTTATAATTGTGCTTTCTACGGATTACATGGCAGACTATTGAGTAATATTCAAAATTATTTTAATATCTTCTTAGAAATGAAGAGGTATTAGAAAGAATAGGAGAACAGAGGACTCTATGGAAGTCAATAGGAAATAGGTGAGATGGGTTGGTAGGACACCTTCTCAGGCATGAAGGTCTAGTCAGAAACATGATTTAAAAGGAGTAAAAGTAGATGCAGACTAGATTATTGTTTGCAAATAGTTAAGCATGTGGGATGTTCTTGTTTTAAAGAAATACGAAGATTAGCTGAGGATAGGAAAGGATAGGGTGTGTGTTCAACCTGTCAAATGACTGACAACCTTGTGATGATGATAACTAAATTGTATATTTACCAGCTTCTAATAGAAGTACATTCCAATTAGGATTTTCAGTCAAACGATTTGCTATCACGCTTCCTGCCGTACCAGCACCAACTACGATGAAATCGTATTCTGAAAGTATCTCCAAAGTATCGTCTGGTTCATTTGCGGCTTGTTCACATGACTCTTTTATAAAATCGAACAAGGATCCGAATAAGCTTCCAGCGTAAATTGGAACGATATAACATAGAATGAACCACCTTTCCAGAATTTTCATATCGAATGGTTTAGCTACAAATGAAATAAACTGACTACCTTAACTAAAATTTTTTGCTGTTTGACAAACGTATTATAGTGTATAAAAATGACGTCACTTTTCATAAAATGATTAATATTTGCTGGAAAAATAACAACAATACCAGACAAATAATATTTGTTTCATAATCTGTTAATCTGTTAGTTAAATTTACTTTAAACGAATTTTATAGAAAACAATAAAACGACTTACTTTTAGTAGTGCACTTTTTATCCATAAAATTATGTACTTGAAGGTATTAAACCAGAGCTTCTTAAACTTTTTTCATTCACGACCGCATTTATGATTGCGAGTTTCCTGGCGACCCCATATAAATATAAAAGAAAGATAAATTAAATTAAAAAAACGAATACACATTTAGATGTTATAAAATCGTATATTTAAATATTTGACATTAAAATTTCTCGCGATCCCAGAACTTT